AATTTTTACGAGAACACTAATGCGCTAATTCTGCTCCTCAATTTATGCAAAATCATTTTAATTACATATAATGGAATTACATAATTAAAGACCTAAAGGTATATAAATATTTAAATCTAAATTTAAATTGTTGAAATAAACTATTTTACAAGCCAAAGGTTCAACGATTTCATTAAATTGTTTTATTAATGGAATTTATTATAATATACAAACTGATATATAGATTTCCTCATATAAAGACTCTTAGCAGTAGTAGTAGTAGTAGTAGTAGGAAAAGTGAGCTCTTGATTAAACCTCACAACTTATTCAATAACCCTCTACCAGAACCAATTAACCTCTTTGGCGACTCTTAAATACCGCGCCAAAAACTCACCCGACAGGTCCTCCAGTCTATCACAAAAGAAGCTCACATAATACGCGTCCTCTTTCACTACTTAAATGTTCCACTTTTAACTTTAATTTTTTAAATGTTATTAGAAAATATTCATAAGTACATTTTAGTTAGTTTTAATTGTTTTAATTAGAAAATTTTAATTTTAGATTAAAATTAAAAATTTCTTGAAATAGCTAATCAATTACACAGGATAAGTTTTCTATTACAGCGTCTCTTTCTCTTGAAATCCTAAAATCATAAAATTTTTATTATATTAGGAAAAAATTCTTATAATTTAAGAACGGAAAACAGAAAATAATTGAATACCTCACTTGCCAGCTATAATAGTTGCCAAACGAATTAATCAAAATGTTTGTGTTGAGATAGATTTATGATTTTCTTCGGATATACCCTACTTACCGAAAAATTCAAATCGAATTATAGAATATTTTTAAGTTATTACTGAATTTTGAAGGGTATGGTCAAACATCACTCACCGTATCAAATTTGTTATAATAAAAAGCATTGAAATTTAAAGTAAAAGCGAAAAAATTTTGCTAATAAGTCATCCAAGACAATTTGGCAACTATTTGATTTGAGATTTTCATCCTATAAATATACATAAATGCAAAAATACAAGCTTACAAACCTTAAAAATGATTTGCGATTATTTATTCTAAAATGTAAAATATTGAAGCTTGCTTACAGTTTAATCTTGCAAATTATCCTGTAATAGCTTAAAATTAAAATGAAATAATCACAAAAAAATTGTTAACATTAAATTTGCTGCAGTAAAATTCTCTTAATAAAATCCTGTCGTAAAAGAAATTCGCATGGAATTGACATGTTAACCAAAAACAGAAGAAGTAAAATTCAAATATTAATTTAAAATATCCAAATTTTTTATAACCATTTTAAAAATATAGTAATTTTCTAACAAAACTCTATAATAATAATAATAATCAGCTTTATACAATAAATAAAAATTTTAATTTTCTTCCTTTTAAGATCAAAACCTGTAAGGAATCTCAATAAATTCTTAAAATTTTTGTTTATATTTATTGGCATTTCTGTGTATGTGTAAGTAGATGTACAAGGTTAAAATAAACAAATTTATTACTTCCTCATAAAAATTGTTTAAAAACGAATATAGAGAGAGCAAAAAAGGATATGCCAATATTGGTAAAATGAAAAAAAAAGAATATATTCAATACACAATATACCCATGTATTTATTCACGTCCATTATATTTTATTTTTCACATATCTACTTACATACAGGGAAATACATAAAATTCCAAATTAGCTTCGATAATCAGAAAATAATGTTGAAAAAATTACATTTTTTCATACACCAGAAAATAATGTAATGAAGTGATTTTTTTCGATTACACCGACTAACAAAATTATGAAGAATTTGATTTGGTTTTCAACGTAAAATATGAAAATCAAACATTGTTCACAAATTAACTGTATGATGAGCATTTGCGGTTGCTTTATTTATTCTGTCCCATATAATCAACATGATTGAGCACTTTAAACTGTCTCTAAATTTTAATCAATTCAAGCCAAGTCTACGAATAATGTTTGAAGTATAAACTGTTTTAACGAAATTTTACAAGAAAAATTGAGATTAATTGGGTCCGGTAGATGGTTTTTGGGATTATATAATGTGGAGGTTATAAGAAGTGAAATTGAGGATTGCCGATGGACCTTCTTCTTGGTATAGCGCACGGAGGAGTGGTCAGTATCGCAATATCTGATAGTATGCTCGTCACAATTTAACTATATAGATATATTACTAATTAGCTGCCGAAATTTAATATATTTTTGTTTGATTATAGTACTTCATAATAAAAACGTCAACAACACAATGAAATCAAAATATACAGTGGAACCTGGAAAAAAAGGGAGAATTTCAAATGGCCAAATTTTTTGCTATGCACATGTAAAAAATTTTCTTTCAATTAGTTGTATGTTACCCTGACACTACTGGACGCTTTTCAAGCCAATTGGTTTATTTTAGTAAAATGAAATTAACGCCCAACACAAATAGAACAGAAAATTTTAAAAATTTAAGACACAATGGCAGAAGTTTCACTTATACTGAATTTAATATAGTGGGACTGCGAAAAATTCATAGAATTTCAATATATTATGTTTTCAGAATACCAGGGTTCAACTGTTTCTCGGATAACAAGAATAAAACACACAAAAAAAATTTCCTATTTTTTTTTTCTGTTTATTCACTTTCAGGATATTTCACGGAAATTTATCTTTTCCTTAAAACACTTCCATTCATTTCATTTTTTTCCTTTCTTTTCTTGTTTGCGTATGTTTTCCATAATAGGAAATATTTTTCGCAATATCAGCAGTACCCTGGAAAACTTTTTGAAATTTTAACTTGATGTTTTGTTAAACTTCTCAAATTCGTTTAAAATTAAGTATTTTTTTTTATGAATAAAGGAAAATTTTAATTTCAATTTGCTTGTCTAACAAAAATAATTGTTTGTCCTAACAAAAAGTCATGTATGTAGGTATTTAATGGAACATGGAAAGTAGTAAGGTAATAATTTTAAAATGTTGATTAAATTAATTAATGGTATTAAATCGCATTACAACTTTCGATTGTTTCAATTTAGATGATTTAGTTTTCGTTGAGCTTCTACTTAAAAAATTTATTTAAACTTCTTTAATTTAATTGTACACTGAAAAAAAAAATATCTTGTTCACAATTTGTTTGATGAAATGACAATTTCCACAAGGCAATCTTTGTGTAAATCATTTCATCATTTCTTATATAAACAAAGATTTATAATCAAATCGATTTTATCATTTTAAAAAATTGAAAGAGAAAAAATGGCCTTTGTTTGACTGATATCGGGTACTAATAAATTGACAATAGGTGCTTCACTATACAAACTAAAAAATAAATTCAATGTGTTGTCATAATTTTATTGTCATTTTAATAAATAACTGGCAAAGATACTGTTCTAATATACTTATAATTTTGAATAAAATGTAGAAACTAAATGAAATATTTTTCTCTGATATAGAACAGTCGTGATTCACTATAGTACAGTTGGTATACAACTACGTTTTCAAAATTTCCCTCTCATTAGAATTAAATCGTTTGCGACATAGAATTATTTCATATCTTTTGTTATAAGTGAATAGTAAGAATGGAAAACTGGAATTAGAATATGTATTAAAGTTTTGTGGCGTATTTTGCGGCATAAAAAATTTTAATACAAAAATTTTGATTTTTGTGGATTTGTCACCTTAAATTTTATTTTTAAAATTTCCAAATTTCAATACAATAAATTGGGTTGTACTAAATTTGATTTAATTTATGTACATATTTTTACTTCAAATTAATAAATAAAAAAGTATTAAAATTTTTTTTTAAAAGTTATTTGTTAAGTTGATGTTCTTAATAATATACAATAGGAAAATTTAATTGTTAAATACCCGAAAACTTAGGTAGAATTTGTTAGTAATAATATCACACAACTGAACATTATTTGGTGACATCTGAGATTATTGAAAAATATACTGTAAATGATATCTTAGGCCAATCCTGTGTGTCATGTGAAATTTTTGATATTAACATCTTAATAAGCAAAAATTTATAATACGCGCTATGCAATCAAAAGTAACAGAGAAATCGAATCATGCTCAAATAGTATACAATAAAGGAATTGCTCGAGTAAAATATTTCGTAGAAAATAACTCGAATCTGTTAAGCCATTTCATAAAGCTTGTAGAGTATTATACCTGTATATAGTCACATAACTTCCAAATTTCATGCACTTAACTTTATTATTGTTTACAAATATTTAAAAAAAATTTCAGAGTTAAATAACAGCTACAAATCGTATCGTATCGTGGTGGTTCTATCTATTTATCGTATCGTATTTATCGTATTTTTATTATTCTTTTCAAGTTGTATGGTAGCTCCTCGAACCCATTGACCGAATTGATTAAATATTAAAAGCAGTTGCCTTTGCATTTTTCAAACACATTTTTGGTTTTTGTTTTTTTCGTTAATGGGTAATTGTGCGATCAGAAGAACAGATGGAAATACGCAAATCAATGCTGAATATTACGCTGATCACAAATATTATATAGATAATACAGTTGACACGATAAAGTGATTGTAAACTGCATACCTACACTAAGGTGTAGACGGGAAAGTTGATAAACATGTGATGACCGTCTTATAATACACCTCACAATTTGTTTATAGGTATACGATATCATAAACATAATATTATTTTCATTTTTATTTTTTTTTTCTTTCTTTTTATTCAAACAAGTCTCTAAAACTTGAACTTGAATATTGTTATTGTTATTAATATAATACGTACCTCTTCTCCATATGCGTACGTACATGCATATGTATGTGCCCGTATGTCAATATAAATATTTCTATTTTATGTAAAATTTTTATTAGTTTAACTTCTGCGATTAGTACAAAAATGAATTTTCAAGCACTCGGACGTTTTTGAAAAATTAATCGCAGTTCAAATAAGAATTTATAAAAGAGAAAATAATTTCGATAACAAGAATGTTAAAGTATTACAAAACCAGAATTTTATGTGTGTATCGTTAAATGTGTTTAATATGTTATTTTAATACAAGTGTAAAAATTTACTCATTAATAATTAAAATCAACAACTACAGTTAACATAATGTTGATATTATATCTGAATATTTTTCTAATATTTGTCAGCAACATAAACAAAATTTTTGCTACTACAAGTGAGTAAAAATATAATATTAAATAATTGATTCTGTGTCTTAAATGAGAATAATATTATACAAATTGTAAATAAAGAACTAGCTCATGACTAAGGCGTGATGTTTACTATTGCGATATCAAAGAACATAAGTATAATAGTATTAATTTTATGAAATTTAGTAGTACTTTCATAATACTAAAAGTATTACGCTTACAAATAATTTGTACAATCTTCTTGAATACATGTGTGTGGTTTGTGTTGTGTATAATTTGTTTTTTTAGTCATAATTTTTACTTCGGTTCCAAATGCAAGAACAGAACATAAAAACTTCTTTGTTCAAAGGTTATTAAACCTTTTTTTTTAAATTAAACGGAATTCCGATTTTTATTACATAATATGTAAATATTTTCAGTCCAATAAAAGTGAGGTCTGTTTTCATTATTATACCTGCGTGTAGGTTAATCAAGTATTTCTCGCAGGCGCAGTGCCGTAAATGTTCTACAACGTTTATGCATTAATTAAATATTAAAGATATTTTTATTGGTTTTCATAAAATATGAAATTCTTAAGTCTCGATATTTACTATTTTCGGTAATACAAAATGCGCGCACTTTATTAAAATAACATTATGTAACTTAACAATTTTAATAGTATATTCGTTATGAAAAAGAATTCAGTGTATTCAGCACATAACTGACCGCGGAGTAAAGGCGAAAATGTTGCATAAAATAATGAAAATTTAAGCTTTTCGTCAACATACCTCGAAAATCCTAAGATTACATTTAAACACAATATCCCAAAAAAAATATATTAAAATAAAATATACTTTTTATTTCGTTCCAGCAATTGAAGCTTGTCGAACACCACCTCCTGAAAACCAATCTGGATGGTGTGTACCAACAAAACAATGCAAAATCATAAGTGACATTATTGGTGTTTCACTTGACGCATTCCCCTCGAAATACCAAACATTTATAGAAAATTCAAGGTGCTCTAGTAGTTCAGATGAGGTAAAAATTCATTCAACCAATAATTTTCTATAACAATATCCTATTTATATTTTTATAATATTTTTAAGCGATTCTGCTGTACTTTGAATCATATCAATCGTGATTTTGCTTCCGCTAATGATTTAAATAATCCTGTTACTCCTCTGGGTCAAAGAGTTGATGGAGAACATATGACTGAAATTATTAAGCCAGCTATCAATTTAAGAGTACCAATCATTCCCAATGTTAATCGTCCCGATATTACAAATATTGACACACATCCAAATCTATATCTATTGCCAAATGAATGTGGATTAATGAAATATCAAGATAAAATATCAGGTGGAGAAACAACGGGACTCAGGGAGTTTCCATTTATGGCTCTTTTAGAATTTAATCGAAAAACACCACATTTTGGTTGTGGTGGAACTTTAATTAATGAAAAATATATTTTAACTGCAGCTCATTGTGCACGTTCAGATTTGTACGTACACGATATAGTAGCCTTCATTATTATTTGATATTAGGTTTTTTCAATAAAAGGTTTAGTGTTCGCCTTGGGGAATATAATATTAGAACAGATGTCGATTGTGTAGACGATGAGGATGAGGACAGTGGATTTGACTGCAATGATCCCGTTCAAGATATTCCAATTGAAAGTATAACAAAACATGAAGGTTATGATAAATTTAAAGCTGTAAACGACATTGCATTATTACGCCTATCAAAACCAGCTAATACGTCAAGTAAGTTGTATAGTTAATATAAAAAATTTATTATTCATAACACACTCTTATTTATGCGGTTTTCAAATTTAAAAAAAAAAATAAATTGATTTCTATAATATTCCATTGCCAACCAAAGCTCTGGTCACTAACTCCCGAATTTACTACAAAATTTAATTGATATTTTTGACTCAAAAATAAAATTCGTATATTATTTGTTATAAAAATGAGTTTACGGCAAATTTGTATAAGAATGTGGTGAACCATAAAGAAAAATATTGCGAATGGATGATTAACCTTACAGCAACCTATTTGCTTTCCTGTTACATTGCTATTGAGCCAAAATCCTATCAAAATGAATAGAAATTAGAACATTACTCTATCTTTATCAATATTTATATATGAAATTTCATTTTAGCAAACAACGTGATACCTATATGTTTACCAAGAAACTCTGAATTAAGAAGTAAAGTTTTTAAAAAGGCGCAATTAACTGGTTGGGGTACTACAGAAAAGGGTATGTAACAAGAAAAAAATAGTAGTACAATTTCAACTGTGAAACAGTCCATTTTTAATTTGCTTTAAGGAAACACGTCACATATTCTTTTAAAGGGAGTTTTAGACATCAATACAGAAAGGCAAAAATGCGAACATTTTTATTCAGAATATTATTATTTGAAAGTTACAAATCAACTTATATGCGCAAGCAGTAAAAATAATATCGATAGCTGTAAAGGTGATTCTGGAGGACCATTATTTCAAAAAGAACAACTGAAACCAAAAGAATTCAAAAAATATCTTCAATTTGGAATAATCTCATCAGGTCCTTCAATTAATTGTGTTGTCATTAATGAGAGTGGTGGATCTCTCTATACAAATATTTCTCGATACATGAAATGGATTTTAGATAATATTTCACCATGACTGAGGAGACTGATAGATAAAAAGGGTTTATATGTATTTTTGAGCTTCCGTAATGAAGCTCAAAGTGGTAATATATTTTAACTAAATTTTAAAATTGATATTTTTTAAAATTCCCTAAGATTAAGCTAGAATTAAATTAAATTTTAGTAAATAAATAATAAATTTACTTATAGAAAAGTCTAAAATAATGTCTTAATTAAATTGATTTGCTTGCAGATCGTTTTTGGAAATTTAAAATTAGTTAGTCAGTCACATGTATGACGTCTATTAAGCGGTAAATTTCTTTATTCAATTTGAACATCAATATACATCGGCCAGACTCGGTTCTGAGCTGTTCGTCGGTTTTCAAAAAGTGTGCCTTCCCGCTTTTCAAACAATGCACAAACATTGAATATTACATATAATAATTGCGCCCCTATTTTCTGGCGCTCATTGCATATGCTTACTTTGCATATATGACTAATCCGGCGCTGACATCGGCTTTCTTACGTCTATAATACATTCAATGGACCACTTTTCAATTATTTTTTGGGCTTAAATTCTCACGCAACATGAAATAGTTTCAAAATAAATTTATGTCAAAAATTTTTTGTAATTATTTCTGATATTCATTTACTAATAAGAATACGTGTATGAGCAACCGATTTATCAAATGTGTACTAAAAAAATTGATCTGATAACAAAAAAAAAAAATAAATAATATAACAAGAAATTTATTTAAGGACAAGATTGATGATGATTTGATTATAATATTATTATTGTATTGTAATAATAAGTTAAGGATATCATAATAATATAATAGAGGAATATAAGACTTATCTTCCTTTATTCATTAACGTCCTCTTTTTTGCTTTTTTGGTTTTGTGTGATGAAATCTTAAATGCTCATTCATATAAAGAATTCATATTCACAGTTGTTTTTGATTATCTTATTCTATAATATAAAAGAGCAAAAATTTATCTATTGTCTTCTAAATACAAAAGGTTCTTGTCTTCTCTTAAATCTTTTTTTAAACATATTTTTATAATTTTACTCACAATATACGAAACACACATACAAAATCACTCACCATATGTGTATATACACATATTTTGGTAATTATCTTTAATATTTTACATTAAAATGCAAAATTTTTAAACACCCAAAGATTAAATAACGATTATGACTTGGCTATTCCGACTATTTTTAGGAATTTAATATAAAAACTATGACGTAAGATTAAGACGCAGGAGAATAATACTTTTCATCAAATGCGAAACCTGTAGATGATTCTCAAAATAAATACATGAAACCAAATATTTGATAGATAGTGCGTTGTCATTGTATCAGTTACTTGTATGAAATTTTCCATGACTCTACTGTATAACATTATTATTATAAGGAAAAATAAATGACAATAAAGCAATGACTCTTTATCTTCACATTAAAATCTCATAACGCAATCAATATGTTATAATTTTCGTCAAATTTAATGTAATCATCCTTTTTTCTTTGTGCTTTGTATTGTTTTGTCCTTTCATATTTTTATATCAGAATTTTAAGGACATTAAATGAAAATAAAATCGAAAATAAAAACAAAACAGAAATTTTATTATTATTTTGTGTCCTTTTCTAATGTTACGTATTGTTATTTTTTTTTTATTTTATTGAGAGGCCCTTCTGCCGAATGACCGACCGGTCATTCACAACAATTGAACAAATGTTTTTCTCTTTTCTTTCTCTTATTTTTTGTTTTGTTTTGTTAAGAAAGACATTTTGATTTAAATTAGATTTGTTATTGATGAGAATTGAAATTTTTTTTTTCATAAGATCCTTAAGAAGAGGAAATGTTATAGAAAAATTGTCAAAATGTCGGAATTTTTTTTTACGAGGGAAATTAATAAAGTATTGAATTTGTATTTTTGATTTATTTAAGAAGCTTATGGTTTTGATTTCGTCTGCAGCTTTACAATGCTTTTTAAATTTATTTCTGGCCAAGTAAAAAAATTTTGGTTTGATCAAAAATCTTTTTCAAATAAATTTTTTTCTCTAGAATGTAAATTATTATCAGAATGCAATTGAATTCATTTGAACTTTCAAAAGTTGATCAATAATTGAATTTGAAATAGTAAATAAAACTTTTAATTATTTATATTTGTTGAGCATATAGTTTCGTTCTTATATAGGTTGTATTTGAAATATTACAACATTTAAATGCGTATAACGGGAGGCTCTCCACATCTACCACATCTGACCATTGGTGCAGTGGTTATGGCACCGGTCCTTTAATCGAAGGGTCTCGGGTTCAAACCCCGGTCAGGTCACTATAAAAATTATATTCAATATTATTATAACTTAATATACAATACTAATAAATATTATACAAGTAATTTTCAAATATTCGTAATATTCCATATTAAAAAAAAAAAAAACTAAGAAAAATAAACAGTAAATATTAATAACCTCAAATAATTAATATAAATAAAACTACGGCAGATTAGTCACCTACCTAGTTAAACTCTATGACGCTATGAAACTAGTGCATGAGAAATCATGCACTAGCCCTATACTCCTTCAAGGAGTGAATAAGGAAAAAAAAAAAAAAAAAAAATCTCACATATTATCAAATGGAGTTACAGCAATCTCGTCCGAATCCTGTATTTCTGCTTTGTCCTAACTAAATTAGACTATTTTGTGTTAGGTTTTTCAAAAGTAAAATCAATGTGAATAAATCAACAATAATTCAAAAGCTAGTCGAAAACAACACATGTATATAGATTAATCAGCTTCAACAATTAGTTATACATCTTAATTAAGCGTGTTCAGTTTCGAAATTGTGACGATCCAAATTACGAACAAATAAAAATAAAGAAACAAAATCTACACATAAATTTTGAATAAGCCATTAAAATTTAAAAGTAGTTCAATTACCTACTAATTGGTAGGTAATTGGCTCAATTGTTAATATTTTTTTTTTTTTGCAAACAATAGCACAATGTCAATTTATCTAATGAATTTTTAACAATGCAACTAAAAAAAAAATTATCAAATCTTTTCTGTAATTAAATAAATACTCGTATTTTACCAGAAAATTAAATTCAATTTACAGAAAATCACTTTAAGATTATCTCAACATTTTTATGAATGACCAAAAATATAATACAAGAAAAAGACAAAATTTTAAATGTCCTTTTTTTGGCACATAAATACATCATTAAATATTATATCCTTTATAATTTTCAAAAAAATTTTTTTTTTTTTTAACTTCAAGTGTTTTTTCTATGACATTTTCATGTTCATATTTTATATCTTCGTATTATCATCCTTATATACACACACACACACACACATTCATACACATATATAAAATATGAAAGGACATTATTATCATTGTATAAAGAACTGAAATAAAATAAAAATTTTCCGGACATAAAAATCAGAATATGGGACATAAAATCAAAAGGATATAGGATATAATGTGTACGGAAAAAAAAAGAATAAAAACAAAAAATAAAAAATTCTCTTACAAAATGGAACGTAAATGAAAAATTGTTTCTGGTCTGTTTTCTGGTCGATAGTTGAACTTAATTATTATCTTTCTTTCTTTCTTTATTTTATTCTTCATTTTTATATACAAGGGTACAGGAATTCGTTACAATATTTTCTGGCACTATAATAATTTTCATTTCAAAATTTTTTTGAATTGAAGCAATTTTATTTATCTGTTCCAATTTCTCAATTGATCGAAACAATATTTTATTAATAATATAAGCATAAAGATAAAGCATATTTAAGGAACTCAACTTGTCTAATAATTTACGTACATATATAAAAAATAATTTCTGGTGGCAATATAATAAATTTGACCCATCTAAAGAATATCGTAATTTTTATTTAATAAAATTCAAAATCCTTCTGTTTTGACAGAATAAACCTACCCCATAATTCCACATAAATCACCATGAAACTATATATAGCTAATAAAATTTAAATTATGTCAGGGAAATGATGCTAATTATATTTAATTTTTCATTACGATTCTAGATGGATCACTGTATACAAACTAAATTTTATAATCAAATATCACATTATTTGGTTGTTCATTCTAAAAAATTGATTTTTGATTCAAAAAGTCATTTTTTTTTTTAAATCATAAAAATGAAAATTAAAAATCCATTTAACACCTTTTTTACTATAATAATTGCTAATAATAGTGTTGTTTTGACAATGTTTCAACTCCTAATCAACAGAACTTAATAAAAGGTTAGAAGAAAAAAATTTAATTTTCTTATTGGTTTTATTATAATTTTCACTGAACTAGATTCTAATAACATTCATTACTCAGATATAGATAAATGAGATTAAAAGTAGGTTAAAATAAGAAGAAAAAATTTATGTTTATAATTTTTATTGGCTTTTTACCAAAATGACAATAAACAAAGATTTTGGGTCATATAGAATTATTGAAACACCAAAACTGTTTTATCAACTAATTGGTAATCAAATAATATTGTACAAAAATAATATTGAATCAATTCACTTCCGTAAATTATCGTTTTCAATCGAAATAAAGTCGGGTCAAACCAATTGTTTGTAATGTAGTGTTCAACAAGTTAAAATATTGCTTTTAAAAACAATCAATTTAATTTTTTGAAATTACTTTCATGATATTAAAAAAATTTCAAAATTGCATACATTTAGGATGAGCGAGGTATGCAAGGTTTGAAATAAAATAAAAAAAAATTAAAAAGGTGTTGACAAACTGTTAGAATTTAAGGGTTAATTGCGTGAATAAAAAAAAAAAAATATTTTTTAACATTATGACATTTACCGCTAACTTGCTGCACTAACAGGATTCGGAAAAGGTTGCAGTTGCGGAAATATAATTTGCCAAAAATTAATATTTTAAAAATTTCGAGAAGAGATAACTTGAGAAGGGGTAGGGTTAGAATATTAATAGAGTCCGACAGCTTATGGTCTAAAAGAAAAACGATATAAAAAATGTGGAAAAAACGGAAATTTTTTGAAAAACTGCTAAAAAAATGAATTTTGAAATA